ATTGACAGGGAGTAATTGTTGCTGAAATTGAGGATTCAGGGCTGCGGCAGCAGTGGAGGATTGTCCACGGATCTCGGATTCTTCGGATTCTCGCCCCAATACCAGCTAGAGTCCTTGCTCGTTTCTTGGGTGAGCTCAAATCCTCAAAGTTTTCCTGTACGAAAGTGTGTAGATGTGTAGATTGATTGTAAAAGCGTAAAGTAGAAAAATATATATCATGTTGGTACCTTAGGGCGACCTCTTTTCTTTGGTTGAGGTTGGTTTTGTACTGGTTCTGCTCGAATGATTTTTTTTTTTCGAGCCATTTAGCGTTTTCTTGGAGGAATCGTTTGTCATGTCGATTGCATGCATTACCGCTTGTAAAGTTTGCTTGGAAAGCGACTGACAGTCCTCCTTTCAGATTCACTAAAAACTCTTTTGATCCTAAATATTAAGACATGTTTAAAGAAATTTAAGCATTGTGCGGCGGAAAGTTAGGTTATAGCTGATAATCGCCTTACAGAAGCAATTTATAATCGCCTTACAGAAGCAATTTATTCTTGCCGTATACTAACTGTAACAAAACTTCAGATCTTTCCGTTTTTAGCCCGCCCTTCTGCTTTTAAACAAGCAGGCCCGCCCTTCCGCCAAACGAAGTTGCCAGCTCCGCTTTGCTCCGCCGGCAACTCCGTTCGGCAGGGGCCGGGCCTGCTTGGCCTGCCGGCGGCGATGGTCGGGCCTGCGGCCCGACCATTTCTGTCACGCGATTTGCTGTAGAACATAATCAAATTATGTAACGGGCCTTCGGCCCGCAAAGCCCGTCGTCCTTAAAATTTGCCCCGTAGACACGAAAAAAGGGATGCAACGGTGAAACACCGCGACTACAACCCACCCTTCTGCTTAGAAAACGTTTTTTGGGCTGGGGGGAGTGAGTTTCTTACCTCTTTTGCGCTTCTGGGCTTTCTTTTACATTTAATTGTTCACTACAGCAATTTTTAACTTATTTTCGTCAAACAAGACCCTCTAGCGCCTAAACATTTAGAGATAGAGCCGAACGGACGAAATTTTCGCCCAAAGGCCTCTTCTCTGACAAGTTACCTTAGAAGACACCATTCAATATTTTCGGAAATCAATTAAAAAAAAAAAAATTGGGCCACTTTTGTGAGAGAAACTCCCTCTAGCGCCCAAACGGCAAAAGATAGAGCAAAACGGACGAAATTTTCGGCCCCTTAGGGTTGGTTGCCAGGATTTGCCGTAGGCGTTTCGTTTTCTAGGAGTGAACCTTGAGATACCCTGAAAATTTGAAGTCTCTGGCACATCTCCTTCTAGTGGAAAAGACAGACAGACAGACACACAGACACGAGGTCGTTTGCATAAGCCCGCTGGATAGCTCTTCGCACTTCGAAATTACGCCGAGTCAAAAAAGTGGCGCTTTAATTTTGCTCACGAGTGTAGTTATTGCATGGTTGCATCCAAATCTTTTTTCTTTTCAGATTCAAAACTTTTAAAATGTGTGCAGCATTAATTTCCTACTCCTTACAGCTTT